GGGGGGCTATGGAGTGGGGGCTTAAGTTACAAAAACCTATGATAAATGATAATTATAAAACAATATTAATTTATAAAAAATGTATACATTGTATTTTGTAAATAAACAAATAATAATATTTAATAATAATATTTAAAATAATTAATAATAATAATTGCTTAAAATAAGATATCAAAAACTATTTGCCAATAAAGTAATAAAATACATTATAAATTATAATTATACATTATAAAATTAAATTATTCATATTTTTTATAAAAAAGATTATTAGCAATAAAAATTATAATAATAATTGCTTAATATAAGAAATAAAAAACTATTTACCAATCAAGTAAAAAATTATTATAAATGATAAAATTGTAATAGACATCCATACAATTATGTAGATGAAAGATGACAATAAATAAAACCTTATTTTAGAAGAATATTGGAAACTTTTCCTTGAGCACAATATGGATTTTTTTCAATAATATATTTAATACAATTATTTTAAATAATAAGAAGAAGAAGAAAAAGAAGAAAACAATTTGCCAATGAAGGAAAAAAAATCAAGATATATGTTCTCAAAAAAAAGTCTTAATATTTAAGTAAATGCATCTCATTTTAATGATGCTTAGGAATTGTATTTAAAAACAATACAAACATGTTGATTGAATGATGTTCTGCAGTGTGTTGACCTGAATAGAGGGAATTCAGCATGCTTTAGTGAAGACGATCTAAAACAGTATAATAGACCAACAAAACTCATTTGACTTGTGAAAAAATACAGAGAAAGAAATATACAAAAAGGAGAAATGACTACATGACTGATGGAAAAAGACAGGACTCACGTGATTGAGGCTGGATTCATAGGTGATGCTGATATGTTGCAGCTTCCAGCATCACATGATATGTTTTCAATCATCTGCAGAAATGCTTTCAGTCTCAAACCTATTCCTTTGATCACATATTTTAACTCTGAACATCTCAGATGTACACACAATAAAAATCTATCATGTATCACACATGGATTCAGGACTGCCGACGTCGTTCGGCTGAGTTCATGGAATGATCGAAGACATTAAATCTAGTCTAGTGCATTATGGGTCGTCGACAGCTTGCAATGCAAAAGGACGAGATGTATTTGAGGGAGTCGAAGCACGTCACTAACCGTCCTGATGTCTGGATTCACAAACACACACACACTGGATTTTCTGAGAGCTAACGTTGCTTTTGAGGGGAATTGATCGGGAAGTGGCACCCAGGTAAAAAAGGAACAGCTTTTTTTTTTTTGTCTGGAGGTTTTTCAGTTCATCTCACTCGTGCTCAGAAGAGCAGGATCCATCCTGAAGAACAGGTACCAGCAAAACCCCTTCAGTCCCACAGCAGAGAGAGAGAAGTCTCCTGAACATCCAGATCACTGTACAGAGAGAGAGAGAAAACACTGGCTGCATCACAGTTCATCAAGTTCTGCTTTGCACATTCAAGTACTTACTTTCAAACAGTGAGTATGTAGTGAGAGCAGGATTGAGACACTACCAACAAAAAAACGACATCTTCAGACCTCAGAGCATTTTCTTATAATGCAGCGAGCGAGAGAATGATTCTGACCCAGATAGCACACGTACACTGTAAAAAATGACCGTGAATTTAACGGTAAAAGACTGTAAAAATGCTACAGTAAAAACCTGTTAAATGGTTAACGGTAAATTCCCCTACTATATACGGTGAAAAACTGTATTGGACATTACATGTATTGGACATAAATTTTACGGTAGTATACCGTTTTTGGAAGTGAAAAAGACCGTATAATTTACAGTGAATAACCGTAAATTGACATTCCCAGAATTCCCTGC